CGGTGCTGGCAAAGAGAATGGGCTGAACTGTCCGGGTCTGCTGCCACGGATCATCACGCGTGGGGAGTTACCATCCGGGACATCATCGAGGTCGACTAGATCAGTCATGATCGTGGCCGCAACAAGTACCAGTGCGTAAAAGTACAATCAGATTATATGTGATAGGTGTAGTGGACCACAGACCCAGGCTGCGAGAGCTCGGATCGCAATCGCTGCCGCTTTCACCATCATCACAATCAATTTCCAAAACAAGATCAGTAACATCATCAGCCCCACACATACTATCATGCACCACGTGCCCACAGCCTATACTTGACCGGGATTTTAACACAACAATAGCACGGGGGCAGCGGCCCAAACCCCAGTTCACACGTCGAAGACTTTTGTGCCGGTACGTCAGGTGACCTTTAGGTACGTTTGAGCTGCTTCGTGATCACATAGGATGTAGTGGAGCCGCCAAAGCAAAGGGATACCGGAATGGACATTGCTGGTTTATTAGCCTTCATCAGCCAGTCATGCGCAATTTCAGGTGTGGATCATCTAAGATTCCAACCTGGGACCTTTAGTCACTACCACGTGCACCACGTGCTCGTTGCTTTGTCGGTTGTGATCGCGAATAAGATGGAAGTAGGGCGTTAACTGATCTATCTTGTTAGGGATCATACTCATCCCGTTGTGCCTTGGCGTTCAAACTACACCCCTGAGATTGGCTATGACGATCAAAAACGTCAGAAATGACCATTATGATCTCCCTTGCCTTTGTTCGCTCCATGTAAACACACATAAATGTGTGTTCATGGGCCTCCAATCCATAAACAAGACCAACGATTTGCCCAATCCATACTCGGTGCTGAATCTCAATTTGGCCAAAGCAAGTCACCCCTTGGGGAACGCGCAGGCCACCGCGTCGCCTTATGCCAACACCGGAGGGTCAGATGACCGAGCAATCTTCACGCCCGAGTCCACCACGCGTGATGAAAGTTCAGCAAGTCAGAACCCGCATGCCGGTTAACGAGCTATCAACTCAGAAGGGGGCAATTATCGTCAATTGTCGCTATATGTTTGCGGTAATGAGTATGTCTTATGAATACCGCAAATTCCTGTGTATATGTTAACCGT